AGAGAAAACCAGAAATAAGAGGCCAGTAGAATTGTGCAAAAGGCTCTCAGGAATTTAGAGATGAGGTTTAGAGTCACAGAACTAACAACACACCAAACCCTTATTGAGGACTCACTGTGAGTCAGATACCATACTTAGAACATTATTGCATGTATTTAACTCATTGAATTCTCACAACAACCCATGAAGTAGGAACTAACATTATTCCCAAAGAAGCTAGATGCCCTGCCTTAGGTTCCACAGGGGAAAGAGCCACCTGGAAGTTGGTGCTTGAATGGATGTGCATAACTTCTACTACCCTGACTCTCCAGAATCATGAGCCATTCTTCTCCAAGATAAAGCTCCCACCATTGTGCTGAAATCTTGGGTGGAAAAAATGGCCACCAATGGAAGACTATCTTGCACAGATCTCTTCAAAATAATCCCACATGAAAGAAAAATATGTAGTTTTAAGGCAGAAGAGACCATTTTGATTCTAGGTTCCTATTTCAAAATCATTTCTCATCAAGAATAGAGTTCGTTTTTAGCAGTTTGTGGGAAGGTTGTAGGGGATTCGCTGAAGTTCTTTACGACTGAGATTGTCCGAGGTTATAGACACTTAGGTGTTCAGTGTAACAGCAGAAGTCTTTCTAACCTGATACATCTATAACCTCCAACAAACTGCTGAGATTATCTAATTGGAATATAAAATATGTAACAAACAATTAACGATGTCTACATAGGCCAAGAATTTTCAAGGCACTTTTTAAAATCCTAATTCTCAGAACAGCTTCATAAGTTGAGTACTAGTATCACTCCATTTTAAAGATGAGGAAACAAGCCGGGAGTGGTGGCTCACGCCTGTAATCCTAGCACTCTGGGAGGCCAAGGCCAGAGGATGGCTCAAGGTCAAGAGTTCGAAACCAGCCTGAACAAGGAGCGAGACCCTGTCTCTACTAAAAATAAAAAGAAATTAATTGGCCAACTAAAAATATATAGAAAAAAATTATCTGGGCATGGTGGCACATGCCTGCAGTCCTAGCTACTGGGGAGGCTGAGGCAGGAAGATCGCTTGAGCCCAGGAGTTTGAGGTTGCTGTGAGCTAGGTTGACGCCACGCACTCTAGCCTGGGCAAGAGTCAGACTCTGTGTCAAATAAATAAATAAATAAAATGAGAAAAGAGAATCTAGAATGGAATGCCACTTGCTTCATCCATTTACCCTCAACCCATCCTTGTGAAAACTGGTATAACCATCCTTTTCAACAATTCAGAACTTCAGCAGGGAGACAGCCTACAGTGCTGCTGAGCAGAATTGGTCTTCTGCCACCTACATAGCTTGTGTGCTTCAGACAAGCTTGGGATTTCTTTTCCAGTTTTTCCTTCACTCATCAGAGGCCAATTTTAAGTGACCTTTGTGGATCAGTCACCTATCGAAATTACTCTCAGTTCATAACTGTAAAAATATGAATTAGCACATAGTAATACTTGTTTAATATTTTCTGTAGTAGAGGAATATACACCTAGAAGAATAATGTCCAATAGAAATAAAATGGGAGCCACATATGTAATTTCACTTTTTTTTTTTTTAAACTAGTCAAGTGCAGTAGTGAAGGGGGTTGGTGGGAAGTAGTAGAAAAAGGAATGCAATCTGTAACTGACTATGAACAATCAAGTGAGATAACTCACTGCCTTTGGACCAGCCCTCATATGTAAATTTTAAATTTTCCAATAGCCGTGTTGCAAAAAGCAAAAAGAAATAGGTGAAAATTCATTTTAACATATTTTATTGAATCTATATGTCTAAAATATTATCATTTGAGTATTTAATCAGTATAAACATTTTTTAATGAGGTATTTCACTTTTTTTTGGTACTAAGTCTCAATTCTGACTAGCCCTATATCAAGGGCTCAATAGCCACATGTGGCCAATGGCTACCATACTGGACAGTGTAGCTCTGGATCATCAAAAGGACTATAAATCATTAAGAGTAAAGTTATAATGAGGTGGCTTCAGAAGACAGACCAATTTTATTATGCTCAAAATTATTTAGTTTCTACTAAGAGACCTTAACTATAGATTTACTCTAAAGATAAAGGCTCTCTGTAACCAGGACTCTACTCTGGGCCATTGGAGCCAGATTACAATGCATTTCTTTTGACTAGGTCAAAGGTCAAGGATATTTATAGAGATAACATAGGTTCTCAAGATTTTTATACTATAACTGACCAAATTTCCCATAAAAAGTTAAAAATGAGTAACAGAAATTAATAGTAGAATAGCTATTTTCAAGTGTGCTTGCTCTTCACATAAAAATAATTTGCCTAACAGAAATCTTTATTATGAATACCTATTAATTGTACAGTTTTATTTATAGAAACTTAGGCTAAGCAAAAAATTTTTAAATGTATAAAATTATTTGTCTACAAGGGTGTTTACTTCACCACTGTGTATAAGAACATCACATTGTAAACAATGTAAATGTCCAGTAATATGGGATTGTTTTTATAAACCATGATACAATAGAGCATTATTCAAGTATTGAAAATTATTCTGTAGGTAATGTATATTGACTATAAAAATATTTTATATTTTGCTTGGTGGAGAAATAGGTTACTGTTTTAAATATATATATATATGTATATATATATATACATGTATATAAATAAACATAAAAAACTGAAAACATTCACTGTGATTTAACAATGGCTGTGAATGATAGAATCACTGCTAGTTTTTCTTTTTTGTATGTTTATATTTTATAATTTTTTTCTAACAAATATCTATTACTTCAATGGAACACAATCAATAATGTTCAAAATAAAATATGCTTTATATATTGATTATCCTTTTAAAAAAATCCATTTTTCTTGGCTTTGAGAAACCCTAATGTACAATTTGTCAAGGAAGAAACTAGCACAAAATTTAGATGGGATGACTGAAATACTAATAAGTCATTCATTTGGGGAAAGTACTCTTCCTAAATTCATAGATGTCAGGAATCCAAGCCCACGAATCAGGGGAGATTTATAATGACAATTCTAGTGGGGAAAATAATCTTTTCCTAGGACCTCCCTGAATTTCAATCAACTGCACTGAAGAAGTTAAAAAGGGACCTAAAATCTTCAGAATCTGGGCCAGATATCTTGGATTCTAAAACAGAGAGAAAAAATATTTTCTCATATGATTTGGTAACTTATTACTTATTCAGAGTCTAATGAACCAAATTATTGCCATCCACAAAAGTTGATTATATATGTTTTGTTAATGTATAGATATACATTCGATAAAGTAACAGGTGGTCTCTTTTATATTATTCATCCTAATTTGATTAATAATTTTCATATTAATGGTTTTCCCTTATTTTCTCTAACAATCAAAATCCCAAAGAACGAGACCCATATTTCCCTAAACCTGGAATAAAAGCAGTAATCTGTTGATATGGAGTGGGGGGAGGGACCTCTTTATTAACCACCAAAGAGAAAATTTTTAAATCCACAGACAAAAGAAAATCGCCATTAAAATTCTAAAACCCTTGCATCGTGCATGGCAATGAATATTATTCATTAAATCCTTTTATCTTTCTAAGATAAAAGGAGTAGATTCTAGATTATTGACAACTACATCTAAAGTGAAGGTATTGGCAGTTTCTCCTAAATTTAAACATACAAGTATTATAATGATGCAACTCTGCTCTCAGTTACTCAATAATAATGAAAACAGGCCAGGTACAGTGGCTCACACCTGTAATTCTAACACTCTCTGGGAGGCCAAGGTGAGAGGATCACTTGAGCTCAGGAGTTTGAGATCAGCCTGAGCAAGAGTGAGTCCCCATCTCTATTAAAAATAGAAAAAACTAGCCGGGCATGGTGGCATGTGCCTGTAGTCCCAGTTACTCAGGAGGCTGAGGCAGGAGGATCGCTTGAGCCCAGGAGTTTGAGGTTGCTGTGAGCTAGGCTGATGCCACGGCACTCTAGCCTCAAAAAGGCACACAGCCTCAAAAAAAAAAAAAACAAAACCTGTGCATATGTAAATAATAAAATAAGTTCAAAATTAAAGCTTTTAAAAAAAGGAGTAAGATGGTCACTTTTATTCAGACTACAGTTACTGCATGTTCTTGTGTGACAGCATTCTGTCTCTTCGACCCTATTTTAAAGATTTTTTTGATGCCCTCTCTCTCTCAGGTCACACTGAGGATAAACAATGAATGGTCTCTTGATGACCGTTTCCACTCAAGAGCTGATATTAACTGAAAATATGGATGGGGATTTGCAGTCCACTCACACTGCTCTATCATTTCTACGATATTTTTTTTTGGAGGTATTCAATGGTGACAAATGATTTTACAAAGGGTAAACAATTAGTATATAAGATTCAGCACATTAAACAGACTTCATAGTCTCTTTATTAATCTTGAACTTGGTAATTTCTGAAAAATTTGAATCAACGGGTTTCTGGTTACTTTCCAATGACATTTAACAGTTAGACTTAAAAATACAGAAGAAAGCATTATAAGTTTTATCCAAAATGATTATGGCCATCATTTGAATAAAATACAGATTTTGCAAGCTGTAAAGCATATCATTACTACATACTGGCCTAAGTAAGGTTTGGTTCACAAACTACAGAGCTCTAACCAAGTCATTAAATCTATCTAAAAGGGCCTCATTTGAGAAGCAATAAAATTTTTAATCATTTTATTATTAAAAGAGTGTTTAATATGTAGCTAATTAAATGCCAAAGGCAGGTTATCTGAGTTTAACCTTCAAAAAGAAAATGATGTATCAAAGTCTGCCTCTGGCATCATGGGATAGAAATGTCATCCTCATAATCATTGCGTGACAACTAGCTGGTGGCCTTTTCTAGAGCTATAGTTAAATTACCTGATTAAATTAATAGCCATTTAGATGTTTTAGGAACTGCACAGACCTATACTAAATGAAAATTAGGTCCATTACATTTTCTGAGTGGGCTAGATAGACCCTAAAATAAAACACGTATGCCATTGCCCACATTACTTAGATTAAGCAATTAAAAGCTCTTTCTAAAAAGCGACTAATTCGCCATAATGTACAGACAACTGGATTTACACTAATGACCAGAGGTAAGTTTTTTTTCCTGCCATTTTCCCCTCTCCTCAGACAACTTCTCTGTATTTGTTTATTTTAAAATAAAAGATTAAAATTTGAATATAGCACCTAAATATCTAACCAGATAAAACTATTTGTTGCATCTATATATTATATAAGACAATGAACGGTGATTATGTGAGTAAAACAGCAAATAAGAAAATAGAGTAGAAAATCACCCTTATTGGGAATTCACCCAACCATCGTTGATGCATTCCAGGAAATAGTTTTCAAATTATTCGGTCTCAACTATTTGGAAAGAATGCAAAGAAAACCCTCATACATTCTGTCTTTTACTAACTGAAAAATAATGCTTAGAAATATCAGAAAAATGCAAACAACATATCTATTAATGCATTTAAGAAGCAAACCACTATTCCTTCTATATTCCTCCAGTTGAAAATGAGTATGAATTGAGTGTGATCTTTAAGAACAGAATGACAGGGCATGGTGGCACACACCTATAATCCTAGCATTTGGGGAGACTGAGGTGGAAGGATCACTTGAGGCCAGGAGTTTGAGGTTGCTGTGAGCTAGGCTGATACCATGGCACTCACTCTAGCCTGGGCAACAGAGTGAGACTCTGAGAGAGGAAGGAAGGAAGGAAGGAAGGAAGGAAGGAAGGAAGGAAGGGCATTTTTTTTTTTTTTTGAGACAGTCTCACTCTGTTGCCGGGGCTAGAGTGCTGTGGCGTCAGCCTAGCTCACAGCAACCTCAAACTCCTAGGCTCAAGCGATCCTCCTGCCTCAGCCTCCCAAGTAGCTGGGACCACAGGGATATGACACCAGGCCCAGCTAATTTTTTCTATATATATTTTTAGTTGTCCAGATAATTCCTTTCTATTTTTAGTAGACAGGGTCTCGCTGTTGCTCAGGCTGGTCATGAACTCCTGACCTCAAGTGATCCTCCCTCCTCAGCCTCCCAGAGTGCTAGGATTACAGGCATGAGCCACCACACCCAGCCTACAAGCACTGTCTTAAGTCTAGTGTGAACAAATAATCAAACGGAGTATGAAAGAGTGATAATAAAAGAATGCGCGTGAGCAATATTAGAAATGTATACAGGTGCAACGACTGCAGAGACGCAGGAAGGATGAGCTGCCCAGTAGATGGTTGAGGCAAGTTGGGAAAGGAGTTATAAAAGACATCATGTTCAAAATCTTCATGTGACAAAACAAAGAAGGAAACTTTTACAGGAGGATGTCAAATATAAAAAAAATTCCATAAAAACGATGAGTGAGAAACTAGATTTAATGTAATCCAGACCCTTCTCAGAAAATGTCAGACTCTGATTTAATGGATTGAGTTAAAAGGCAAAAAGAAATTGTTTTATTGGTATGTCAAAAAACAGTCCAAGCATAATGCATTACAGTCACTGTGTGATTTTTCAAAGTTACCATGGAAAAAATTCCTCCAGAGGAACATCATGGGATGATTCCATAAGAGGGAAGACAGAGAAATGTCACGTTTTTAGGAAAGCACAGAAATAAACATTTAAGACTTCCAAGAGTTCATAAGCTTTACAATATATTTGATAAATAGCGAGCAATGTCTCACTGACCCTAAAGGCTCATTGTCCTGGGAAGGGAATTGTGAAGAAGGCCCAAAGCTTGCAAGAATTTCATGATAATGCAAGTAGGCAAGAGTGGGAAGGAATAACCCAGTTATCATAACAGAGATCCAAGATAGAAAACACTGGACTATTAACCTTGACAAACTATTTTAAATGGCATTTTCAACTTATGTCTCTCTTGGGTTTCAGTTATCTTACATATCAAGAGGTTTGCTATTTGAGAGACAATAATATTTTTGATGAGAAAATTCCTTTAATCATTCATAGATGTCTGTCTCAGCCTAGATACTATTTTGAATGTCACTGGAGCTATTGAGAATAGTATTCAAGCTGAATAAATGAATACATACATCTCCAAGGAAAATTTAGAGTTAATTCATTATAAGGGATGGAGAAATATTTCATCTATTCCCCCTAACAGTGTTTTTGTTTTATGTAAGATCCAATATTGAAATATTGTAGGTGATAGTGGTAACCACCATTTCCTGCCCACCTGCTATGTTCTCTGTTCCTGGAAGGGTCTCTCAGCTTCTACACTGTCAATGTTTAAGCTGGATAATACTCCTTTGTGGGGTCTGTCTTGTGCACTACGGGATGTCCAGCAGCATCCCTGGCCTCTACCCCCTAGATACCAGAAACAACCCTCCTAGTTGTGATAAACCAAAACTGTCACTAGATTTTGCCAAACGGTGCCTGGCAGAGGAGGGAGGTGGTGGGCAAAATCATCCCTAGTTGAGAGCCACTGGTATACATGGCACTTTACTTGGTCACCTATTTATTCTCATGCCAATCTTGCCTGGCAGGAATTCTTATGCCTGTTTTAAAACTGAGGAAGCTTGAGATTCGCAGAAGCACTTCAACCTGGGCTTTTTAACTTTGATCTGTATTCTGTTCACTGTACTTGTACCACGTTGTCTTCACGGTTCAAGAGTTTTGTGCTTAGAATTTTCTGAAGGATTTCACACTAATTCCAGAAACATCATCATGATACCATCCGGAATTGTGGTAAAGTGTATAATCACAGTGAGTATGTGAAGGGCAGTGGGCCACAATTTTCTTCTGGGCTTGCTCTGACCCTAATCTACTGTCCTATCACCATTTTTAGATGGTAAGCAAAGAAATCCAACCCTTTGGCTGACTGTGATTGTTTGCTAATTTTCGGGAGAAGAGGTGTTTGTGTGTTATATGGGAAAAGAGGAGGAAATCTTAAGTAAGACCTATGTCATTCATGAAAACATTGTCCTATCTTCATTTTGACTGGTGAGCCTTTCTCTGATTCTGTAATTGTGAATCAGTTTGCAGATTTGTGAATCTATCAAAAGATTTAGGGATTCCTACTGATTTTATAAATTGAATTGACAAAGGAAATAATGAAGGAACTGTGTTGTGTTTTTTTTTTTTTCCTTTTGTGGCCTACTTCTATAATTATTTCATACTGTGCTCTAACCTGCCTTTGAAAAACTCTGCTGCCTACCTAATAAAAAACTTTCTTCCTTCAAATCAACAAAGGCAACTGTCCAGTATTATGTCATACTTTTTTTTTTAACCTGAATTGCCTACCACAAAAGTCAAGGCTCAAAAATGTCTGTTGAGTGAATAAATAAATGAATAAAATAATATTAGATAAATAATTTACCATATTTTAAAATTCTGGCTACAAATAAAAGATGTTTCATTGATATTAGTTGTGATGACTCACATGCAGAACTGAAAAAGAATATTAGGGATGATCATTTCTTTAACTTCTCATACTAATTCCTTCCCAACCCCCCCCCAAATTGTTGGGGGATGGAGGAGAAACTAGTGTTGTTTCATTTTTTTTTAATTTTTTAATTTTTTAATTTTTATTTTTTGACAAAAAGGCTTTGAAGATGGTAAGAATGTTGGTTCTTTTTAAAGGAAGAATTAGGTACTTGAGAAGTTTTGGCTTCCATTAATCTACCAAAAAACATGCACAGAGAATAAAGAAAGATGAAACTACTCATGTTTGCCTGCTCTTCTAAAATAAAAGTAATCCGAAGTTTTTCTTTTGCAAGTTATAATATGGCTCTTCAGACTATTGAAATCACCCTTATCTATGATAATTCAATTTAAAAAGTTGTATATGCACATTATCAGAATGAATAGCAAATTAAATTTAAAAATTCAGTTATTTGGTGTGATTTGACAAAATAAAACAAAGCAAGCAGCAACTTAACTTTCCAGCTAATTGTATTGAGCAAGAATTTTGAACCTTATTATAATTATGAAATGTTAGCATTATTACTAGTATTTAGTTTACTGGATTTCCACTCCTTCCTTCTACAATATATTGGGATTTAAAATATACAATATATTGGAATTTTAAAAATTATAGAATGCCATTTTTGGAGTTAAAAGTGATCTTATATTATCTATTCCAAACCACATCCTCCTGTGTTTCTAAAACAGTTGAAGACATAAAAACAAAAAACAAATGAACAACAACAAGAAAAACAAACAGTGAAACCAAGTTGGCTAGGTTATACATGTCCCTGCTTCCCTTTTTCTATTAAGTAAAAATGTAACTGAAGCTTTAAAGTTTTAATTTGAGGTTGTGAAATGGGTGTCTATGTTGACACTTGGCTCCAGGGAGCAAGCATTATCAGAACTTCTGGTAGTTTCTTTTTCTGAATCCTCTCTTCAGATGACGTGAGTTGAGATTTCTGCCATTTATAAGCAGGAGACCTTGAGTTAGCTTCTCAGCCTTTTCCTTTGCCTCAGTTTTCTGTCATAGGAAATGAATGCTTCGGCTATGATCTCTGATGTCCCTTTCAGCATTTCTTCTCTGATTGCAGCTCCTATTGGGTTTTCCTTCTACAAAACACAGACTTCTTATCCTTAAGATGGATGAGGATTACTTTAGAAAGTTGTTCATTCTTTGAGCTGCTATCTGATTGTCTGAGAGAATGTTTTAAGGAATAGCTCTCTTGCAAATAACTTTTGAAGTGGAAAGTTGGCATCCATAATGAACACCAGGAATGAAAGAATTTCACAACTTCTCCTGGTCCTTCACAAGGACCAGGTCATGACCACCCTAACAAGCACGCTGGAAATAGTATATTTTCCACTAAGGACATCACAAACAACAAATATTTATTGAGTAACCACCCTATGCTCAGTTCTCATTTCCCTTTACTTGATCCTCTTAGTGATCTCATCTACATCTGGAGTTTAAACTATCATGTGCTTCCTTATTTTGTCACAGAAAATCTCTCTTCTGTGGCTGGGCATGGTGGCTCATGCCTGTCAATCCTAGCACCCTGGGAGGCAGAGGCAGGAGGATTGCTTGAGTTCAGGAGTTCGAGACCAGCCTGAGGAAGAGCAAGACTCCCGTCTCTACTAAAAGTAGAAAAAATTAGCCAGTCAACTAAAAATGAAACAA